TATCTCCTTTCCTTTTATTGACATTTCTTGCACAGTGTTCTGATAGAGTGAAAGCGTTGGTTTCAAATGACAATCACTTTTCGTAACTGCTTTTTTTATTACTTTAAAACTCAAAAACATTAAACAATAAAATTAATTCATAGCCATTAAATTTATCTAATAAATCAACTATTTTATTGTCTAATTTACAACAGATATAATTAAAATTATGGCCACATAAACCCAGAATCATAAATATTTATTTTTCCTCTTCAACAATCATTAATAAATTTCTTATCGAATTATTCATAATTTTTCTTTGAAAAACCTCAAAATTCTCTTAATTTACTTAATACTTGTTAGTTCTTAAGAACTTTAGCATTTTAAAACTTCGATTAATGAATAGGTTCGTCTAATTATATACACACACGTTAAAATAAATAAAATATTGTTTATGCAAATAAAATTTAAGAATAAAACTTCTCACTGTGACGTTACTCATCGTCTGAGATATCGCCTATCAGACAGACGGTAACATCATTTCATATGCAAGAACTTTTAAGTGATTTTGTTTTTAAATTCATCAAAAACGTATAAAAAGAAGGTTCTGCAAATAAAATTAATGAATATTTTAGACACTAGTTGGAAATAAAAGTGTCTAAAATAATAAATAGTTAATCATAGTCTCTAGAATTTTTAAAACAAATTTACACAGGCAGACAAAATGTGTTTTTATTTAAACATATTAATGTATTTTTATTTATATTAAAGCTGAGCAAATATTTGACAAATGTTGCTACACAATTTTTACATTAGTGAAGTTATTTAAAAAAAAAAATTATAGTGGTTTTGAACTTGATTTTGCGATTGAAGGTGGAAACCATAATTGAGACTTATAATTCATGGAAATGCTGACATATCATTCATATGAATCTGCATTAAAGTATAACAATAGGCTAAGAATATTTTATTAAGTTGATTAGGTCATGTCCGCCCGTCTGCCCATGTTTACATTATAACCCAACTACAGTGAATAAAGTCTATAAATTTGCAATTATTTCACCTAGACCCTTTACAAACGCATCCTCCGAATAGATCTTCGGTGACCATAGTCACAAAAATATACTAATCAAAATTTTGTACAAGTCTAAACAATACAGCCGATTTTCGTAAAGGTCTCTTCAAAAGTGACTTCAATTAAATTCGCTCTAAACAACTTTTATATAAAAAAAATTCCGACCATTTGCTAAATCATGGATCCATTACAAACATTTTCAATAGACTTGTTGCTACATTGAAATTACACCAGTAACATTAATTACATTCAACGGATTATTAGATTAATATATCAATACCTAAGAATGATATTAGTTGAAAATTTTGGGCGCTACAAGGAATCAATTAAGATAGATGGTGGGTATCAGGCATGGTAAATTCTGTACTTTAGTACTATTTTCAGTACTTCTTGATACCGAAAAATACAGCAGATCCCCAATGTTATTTTCGGTACTTTTTCTGACTTATGAACTTTTGATAAATAGTAAAAAAACTACTCAATAGACCACTCTAGTCTATACTCAAGTCAATAATCTAGTATGCAGTCTACTCTGTAGTCTAGTATGTATTTTAGTCTGTAGTCTAGTCTGTAGTCCTAGTCTATAGTACAGTCTTTAATATAGTCCTACTCTTTAATCTAGTCTATAGTTTAGTCTATAGTCTAGTCTATAGTTTAGTCTATAGTCTAGTCCTATAGTTTAGTCTATAGTCTAGTCTATAGGCTAGTATATAGGCTAGTCTATAGTCTAGTCTATAGTCTAGTCTATAGTCTTAGTCTAGTCTTCTAGTCTATAGTCTAGTCTATAGTCTAGTCTATAGTCTAGTCTATAGTCTAGTCTATAGTCTAGTCTATAGTCTAGTCTATATCTAGTCTATAGTCTAGTCTATAGTCTAGTCTATAGTCTAGTCTATAGTCTACGTCTATAGTCTAGTCTATAGTCTAGTCTATAGTCTAGTCTATAGTCTAGTCTATAGTCTAGTCTATAGTCTAGTCTATAGTCTAGTCTATAGTCTAGTCTATAGTCTAGTCTATAGTCTAGTCTATAGTCTATAGTCTAGTCTATAGTCTAGTCTATAGTCTAGTTTATAGTCTACTCTAGTCTATAGCCTAGTCTATAGTCTAGTCTATAGTCTAGTCTATAGTCTAGTCTATAGTCTAGTCTATAGTCTAGTCTATAGTCTAGTCTATAGTCTAGTCTATAGTCTAGTCTATAGTCTAGTCTATAGTCTAGTCTATAGTCTAGTCTATAGTCTAGTCTATAGTCTAGTCTATAGTCTAGTCTATAGTCTAGTCTATAGTCTAGGCCAAATTCTAGTCTATAGTCTAGTCTATAGTCTAGTCTATAGTCTAGTCTATAGTCTAGTCTATAGTCTAGTCTATAGTCTAGTCTATAGTCTAGTCTATGTCTAGTCTATAGTCTAGTCTATAGTCTAGTCTATAGTCTAGTCTATAGTCTAGTCTATAGTCTAGTCTATAGTCTAGTCTATAGTCTAGTCTATAGTCTAGTCTATAGTCTAGTCTATAGTCTAGTCTATAGTCTAGTCTAGTCTAGTCTCTAGTCTAGTCTATAGTCTAGTCTATAGTCTAGTCTATAGTCTAGTCTATAGTCTAGTCTATAGTCTAGTCTATAGTCTAGTCTATAGTCTGTCATAGACTAGTCTAGTCTATAGTCTAGTCTATAGTCTAGTCTATAGTCTAGTCTATAGTCTAGTCTATAGTCTAGTCTAGTCTAGTCTATAGTCTAGTCTATAGTCTAGTCTTAGTCTAGTCTATAGTCTAGTCTATAGTCTAGTCTATAGTCTAGTCTATAGTCTAGTCTATAGTCTAGTCTATAGTCTAGTCTATAGTCTAGTCTATAGTCTAGTCTATAGTCTAGTCTATAGTCTAGTCTATAGTCTAGTCTATAGTCTAGTCTATAGTCTAGTCTATAGTCTAGTCCTATAGTCTAGTCTATAGTCTAGTCTATAGTCTAGTCTATAGTCTAGTCTATAGTCTAGTCTATAGTCTAGTCTATAGTCTAGTCTATAGTCTAGTCTATAGTCTAGTCTATAGTCTAGTCTATAGTCTAGTCTATAGTCTAGTCTATAGTCTAGTCTATAATCTAGTCTATAATCTAGTCTATAGTCTAGTCTATAGTCTAGTCTATAGTCTAGTCTATAGTCTAGTCTATAGTCTAGTCTATAGTCTAGTCTATGGTCTAGTCTATAGTCTAGTCTATAGTCTAGTCTATAGTCTAGTCTAGTCTATAGTCAAGTCTATAGTCTAGTCTATAGTCTAGTCTATAGTCTAGTCTATAGTCTAGTCTATAGTCTAATCTATAGTCTAGTCTATAGTCTAGTCTATAGTCTAGTCTATAGTCTAGTCTATAGTCTAGTCTATAGTCTAGTCTATAGTCTAGTCTATAGTCTAGTCTATAGTCTAGTCTATAGTCTAGTCTATAGTCTAGTCTATAGTCTAGTCTATAGTCTAGTCTATAGTCTAGTCTATAGTCTAGTCTATAGTCTAGTCTATAGTCTAGTCTATAGTCTAGTCTATAGTCTAGTCTATAGTCTAGTCTATAGTCTATAGTCTAGTCTATAGTCTAGTCTATAGTCTAGTCTATAGTCTAGTCTATAGTCTAGTCTATAGTCTAGTCTATAGTCTAGTCTATAGTCTAGTCTATAGTCTAGTCTATAGTCTAGTCTATAGTCTAGTCTATAGTCTAGTCTCTATAGTCCTAGTCTATAGTCTAGTCTATAGTCTAGTCTATAGTCTAGTCTATAGTCTAGTCTATAGTCTAGTCTATAGTCTAGTCTATAGTCTAGTCTATAGGTCTAGTCTATGGTCTAGTCCTATAGTCTAGTCCATAGTCTAGTCTATAGTCTAGTCTATAGTCTAGTCTATAGTCTAGTCTATAGTCTAGTCTATAGTCTAGTCTATAGTCCTAGTCTATAGTCTAGTCTATAGTCCTAGTCTATAGTCTAGTCTATAGTCTAGTCTATAGTCTAGTCTATAGTCTAGGCTATAGTCTAGTCTATAGTCTAGTCTATAGTCTAGTCTATAGTCTAGTCTATAGTCTAGTCTATAGTCTAGTCTATATTCTAGTCTATAGTCTAGTCTATAGTCTAGTCTATAGTCTAGTCTATAATCAAGTCTATAGTCTAGTCTATAGTCTGATCTATATTCTAGTTTATAGTCTGAGTTATATTATAGTCGGTTATGCTTAACCGAAAAAAATCTTTAAAAGTTCATATTTTTTTGAAAATGCTGCCTCATCTTCCGAGAATTACTAGTAAAGTCCGAGTTAAGCATTTTTAGGGAGATAGATTGATCTGAATGTAGAGTTCCATATAGTCAGACATTACTTAATTTTTGTTAAATTATATATCAAAGATTTGTTTTGGTTGACCAGTGTTTTTTTAAATATTCAATATCAAGAAACAGCAACTTGGTAACAAAAATGATTTTGTGAAAGGAGATGCTCTTCACAATAAACAACTGACTACCAGCAGGCCGAGATTAACTAAGACAACAAAAACAATTAGACGTTTAAGTTTGACACGTTGACAGCAGCTGAATTCGAAATGAAATATAACAATATTTGTTTAACTAATCAACTTGCTCGTATTAGTTAGATTTAGACTTCAGGCTAAAAATATGCAAATTTGAAATAGAATAATGTTGCTTCTAACTAAAACGGAAATGCGTACTAAAACAATTTAATTGCTTAATGACAAGCCAGCCGAATTGATGGATATTCGGCGTGCTTAGAAAAAGTTTAATTTAGTTGTTTTAAAGCAAACTTTTTAAGGCTTGGTTTGTAAATTTTTTTAAAATAATTGTTTGCAAATTCGGCGAGTTTTAATTGGATGTTTTCCATGTGATGCATCTTCATCTATTGACTAATTATCACAGATTATGCTGACATCACTTTGCATTTTGTTTCACGCACAATAAATCATTCACTCACACTTTACTTACTTACCCAGACAGGTTGTCAAGTCCAAGGCACCAGCATAGAGGCAACCATTTTTACGCTTAATAATATTCGTCAATTTATCCACACAAAAACATTCATTATCATGTTCGGGGCCAATGTCATTAACAAAATTCTCGCCAATCGAATAACGATAGCCGGGTATACCTTTGTACATGATCTCCTTTTGATAGAACAATTGAACGGAACGACAGATATCGGCACTAAAGATATACATGGAATCACCTTTCTGGCGAAAAGGTGGATACATGGAGGCATCGGTGCCATTGATTTGATTGCATTTTGAGGTGCCATTGTTGTCACTGGAATTCAACCAGACTTGTAGATGATGGTTATCATCAAGTTTTTGTATTTCTAAAACTCTCATAGCATCACCTTTGCCAGTGTGGACCTCATAGACATCGTGACCGGTGCCGTTTTTCTGTAACGAAAATAACTCCATTAATAGAGGCTCTATTAAATTATCTTTTTTTTTCCACTTACATGATTGAAAAATGAGAAGGCCAAACTGCCATCTTTAAGTTCACGTATAGTCTTGGAACCACCATCTTTGATTTGATTACAAATGGCCTTGGCTAATCCCTGAGGATTAATACAAAATCTCACACCATCGAACAAATACTCCTTGACTGTGGTGTGCACAAACATAGTTTTAGGATCATTGAAAATGGCCTTCAAATTGGCATTCAAATGCACCAATAGCAAAGCCAAACTGGGATCATTTTCCCCAATTTGCAATACGGACTAAAATTTGTGGTTAAACAAATAAAATGTAATATTTTACATAAAATTAGATAAAAACAAAAACTGGTTTTAAAATAATGAATATTTTTTAATTACTATATATAAGCGTTAATTTACAAGCATTCATAAGAAGCGTTAATTTCATTTTACAAATTTTGTATTTAATTTTGTGACTTTATAAACAAAAAAAGTTAATTAATTATTTAATTATTATGTACATGCTAAATATTTCCAATTATTTAAATACCAATTCACCTTTAATCAAATAGCTTTTTAAATAGATTTAACTAATTAAGAAGTTGTTAATTTGTTTAGCATTAAAGTTTTTTTTTACAACTTACTTTTACATCACTTAGTAATGTATGGAATATATTTTCTACCCATTTAAAGGGTTCTAAGAATATATACAGAGAAGTATTTAAATTAGTTACAAATAAGGATAAAGAGGAAAATGTTTATAAAATGTTAGCAACATATACATTATTTGCTAAATATAATTGGTCCTTCCAACCATATAAAATCTACACCAATGGTAATAAAAGTAAAGACGAATTTTTACTTTTCGTAGGTCCACACGTCATTTTCATCAATTATTTGATAGGTGTGAATGTACCTTAATATATAACACATCGATATACATACATATATCTATTGCATAACATAAATAAATTCCCCATCTTAGTAACAACACATGGATTATGCGCCAAGATAACTTCTCATCTTTTGAAGCCATGAAGGAATCATACCAATAACACAGGCCAAAAAAATTTTAAAAAAATCAAAATCAGAGAGGGGCGCTGAATCCGAATCTGGCCTCCGAATTTATATACCACATCAGGTCTTTCAGATATCATGTAGTAAGAACTAAAAAACTGATTTTCGCCATATATCAAGGACTTATATCAGTGGGAAGAAACCTTCGTTTTGTTATGTCATCTGAAAGTCCAATTTGACGGAGGTTTAACTTCTCAAATATAGACTAGACTATAGACTAGACTATAGTCTAGACTATAGACTATAGACTAGACTAAATACTAGAATATAGACTAGACTATAGACTAGACTATAGACTAGACTATAGACTAGACTATAGACTAGACTATAGACTGGACTATAGACTAGACTATAGACTAGACTGTAGACTAGACTATAGACTAGACTATAGACTAGACTATAGACTAGACTATAGACTAGACTATAGACTAGACTATAGACTAGACTATAGACTAGACTATAGACTAGACTATAGACTAGACTATAGACTAGACTATAGACTAGACTATAGACTAGACTATAGACTAGACTATAGACTAGACTATAGACTAGACTATAGACTAGACTATAGACTAGACTATAGACTAGACTATAGACTAGACTATAGACTAGACTATAGACTAGACTATAGACTAGACTATAGACTAGACTATAGACTAGACTATAGACTAGACTATAGACTAGACTATAGACTAGACTATAGACTAGACTATAGACTAGACTATAGACTAGACTATAGACTAGACTATAGACTAGACTATAGACTAGACTATAGACTAGACTATAGACTAGACTAAAGACTAGACTATAGACTAGACTATAGACTAGACTATAGACTAGATAGACTAGACTAAAGACTAGAATAGACTAGACTATAGACTAGACTATAGACTAGACTATAGACTAGACTATAGACTAGACTATAGACTAGACTATAGACTAGACTATAGACTAGACTATAGACTAGACTATAGACTAGACTATAGACTAGACTATAGACTAGACTATAGACTAGACTATAGACTAGACTATAGACTAGACTATAGACTAGACTATAGACTAGACTATAGACTAGACTATAGACTAGACTATAGACTAGACTATAGACTAGACTATAGACTAGACTAAAGACTAGACTATAGACTAGACTATAGACTAGACTATAGACTAGACTATAGACTAGACTATAGACTAGACTATAGACTAGACTATAGACTAGACTATAGACTAGACTATAGACTAGACTATAGACTAGACTATAGACTAGACTATAGACTAGACTATAGACTAGACTATAGACTAGACTATAGACTAGACTATAGACTAGACTATAGACTAGACTATAGACTAGACTATAGACTAGACTATAGACTAGACTATAGACTAGACTATAGACTAGACTATAGACTAGACTATAGACTAGACTATAGACTAGACTATAGACTAGACTATAGACTAGACTATAGACTAGACTATAGACTAGACTATAGACTAGACTATAGACTAGACTATAGACTAGACTATAGACTAGACTATAGACTAGACTATAGACTACACTATAGACTAGACTATAGACTAGACTATAGACTAGACTATAGACTAGACTATAGACTAGACTATAGACTAGACTATAGACTAGACTATAGACTAGACTATAGACTAGACTATAGACTAGACTATAGACTAGATTATAGACTAGACTATAAACTGGACTATAGACTAGACTATAGACTAGACTATAGACTAGACTATAGACTAGACTATAGACTAGACTATAGACTAGACTATAGACTAGACTATAGACTAGACTATAGACTAGACTATAGACTAGACTATAGACTAGACTATAGACTAGACTATAGACTAGACTATAGACTAGACTATAGACTAGACTATAGACTAGACTATAGACTAGACTATAGACTAGACTATAGACTAGACTATAGACTAGACTATAGACTAGACTATAGACTAGACTATAGACTAGACTATAGACTAGACTATAGACTAGACTATAGACTAGACTATAGACTAGACTATAGACTAGACTATAGACTAGACTATAGACTAGACTATAGACTAGACTATAGACTAGACTATAGACTAGACTATAGACTAGACTATAGACTAGACTAGACTAGACTATAGACTAGACTATAGACTAGACTATAGACTAGACTATAGACTAGACTATAGACTAGACTATAGACTAGACTATAGACTAGACTATAGACTAGACTATAGACTAGACTATAGACTAGACTATAGACTAGACTATAGACTAGACTATAGACTAGACTATAGACTAGACTATAGACTAGACTATAGACTAGACTATAGACTAGACTATAGACTAGACTATAGACTAGACTATAGACTAGAACTATAGACTAGACTATAGACTAGACTATAGACTAGACTATAGACTAGACTATAGACTAGACTATAGACTAGACTATAGACTAGACTATAGACTAGACTATAGACTAGACTATAGACTAGACTATAGACTAGACTATAGACTAGACTATAGACTAGACTATAGACTAGACTATAGACTAGACTATAGACTAGACTATAGACTAGACTATAGACTATAGGGACTAGACATAGACTAGACTTAGAATAATGACTAGACTATAGGACTAAGACTATTAGACTAGACTATAGACATAGACTATAGACTAGACTATAGACTAGGACTATAGACTAGACTAGACTAGGATTTAGACTAGACTATAGACTATAGACTAGACTATAGACTAGGACTATTAGGACTAGACTATAGACTAGACTATAGACTAGGACTATAGACTCGACTATAGACTAGACTATAGACTAGACTATAGACTAGACTATAGACTAGAATATAGACTAGGGACTATAGACTAGACTAGAAGACTATAGACTGACTATTAGACTAGACTATAGACTAGACTATGACTAGACTATAGACTGGACTATAGACTAGACTATAGACTAGGACTATAGACTAGACTGTAGACTAGACTATAGACAGACTAAGACTCGGGGACTATAGACTAGACTATAGACTAGACTATAGCTAGCTATTAGACTAGACTATAGGACTAGACTATAGACTAGAATTAGACTAGACTATCAGGACTAGACTCTAGACTAGACTATAGACTAGACTAGCTAGGACTAGACTAGACTAAGACTAGACTATAGACTAGAACTATAGAACTAGACTATAGACTAGACTAGACTAGACTATAGACTAGACTATAGACTAGACTACATGGATGACGAAGGAGGTGCTTTAGTCGGTAGGAAGCCGACATAATCCGTTGTTTTTTTTACACCGGGTATCATAGGCAAGATTTACCTGCGTTATAAAAAAGGAGTATAGACTAGACTATACTATATACTATATATTTGATGTCGTATAAGGAAGACACGATACGGTCCATTGCAATTTAATTTCCCACTATCGAGAATGCCATTGGAAAAATTCCATTAATTGAGAAATTTTGCTCACCATTGCATAAATTTGCAATATAAATACACAAGATTGTGAATGGCCACTTATGTGTTACAATTAAATTTGCAATGCCAAATCGAAACTTCCGGAATTTTAGACATACTTATGTTTGTCATACAAAAATCTAACAGAAACTTAAAAAGATAACTCATGCGTGAAAATAGACAAAATCGGCTACAAAATAACAACATTTATTAACAAATTAGTAATTAAACATGGCAATCAACCAGAAACTAACACTAACTTTAAATAAATATAATTCATGCGAAAATATTTTTGCAAGTTTACTTTTTTCTTAATATTTATTATTATTTAATAGTAGCATATTAAGTGTTATAAAATAACAGAATTCATTGTATTGAAACAACCATAAAAAATAAATGTTATAAGTAGTTTAGCAAATAATTTGTTAGCGGTTTTTTGACATGCAACACATTTTGGCAATAAATATAATCAAACAGCCATACATCCACAAAAAAACTAATCTTATAGTTAAAGTAAAAATAAATAAACAATAAGATAGAAAGAAATACATACATGCAGAGACATGCAAAAACTTGTTGACAAACATGATGATAATTATAGTTTAGAAATAGTAAGAAATAAATAAGTTTTTAGCTTAATTTACAGATCAATGGACCAAATACCGGTAACAATATAATATTTGTTTAGCATTGTCTGTTTTTTTGTTGTTAATCAATAGATATTGGGTTTAGTGTTTATAACATGTAGTAAGTATAAATAACAGTTAATGTATGTACTTAAAATTAACAAAAACCACTCATTATATATTTGAATATCTATATTGTCTACATAAACAGTAAGGGGCAAAACAGAGAGGAGTATTCAATTTTAAAACGACTTTATAAAAAGCATTATGGGTGCCTGAGGAGAAAATCTATTGTAAATTCAGATAGAATTTACTGTAATAAAAATTTTACGAAAATAATAAAAATATTCTATCCTTCATGTATTATTAATTTATCCCTAAAATATTTTACCAGACCCTAAAGAAAAGTGGACTTGGTTTCAAATATAATATGAAGAGCCAAAGTGAATTTGTTTTTTATAAAAATTATATTGAAGTATTATTGTTTAACTAAAAAACAACTTAGAAATGCGGAGTGGAACCCGCAGGTCAGCCGCATTAGGGACCGCCTAACTCACACATTTCGGTTGCAGCTGTAATATCACCTGTAATTAATAACAGCAAAAGTCAACAAACCATAGCAACAGCAAAACGTTATATATTGTCCATTGTCTCCCCGGATGGAGATTCCCCATATTGGTGTGGTGTACTAGTCTGCCGGGACTATAAACTGGTAGTGTCTAATACATCCTCTTCCTTTCCTAAGAATAGTTTGACCTGGGCTCGAACCAGAGCAACTAAAATTCTGATATCAAGGGAACCAGTAGCCCGCAGGACAGTGTTTCTTGTCCCGATACGTGGTGGCTGTAGTTTAAACCCAAAATGGCGGATAAAGAATGTTGGTATGAAGACATATGCACGATGAAATATTTAGGGATAAGTTTGGTTATCGAAAAAGACCAATCGGAGGAGTTTCTGTGGGGCTAAGCTTTAGAAATGGTACATAATGAATGAAGGTATATACGGGCTTAGTCCACCCGTATACCTAGAATAAGTGTATCGGATGTTTTCTGTATGAAAGTCTCCGATAACACAGTGAGACAAAATAAACGAAAGTTGGATCCGTGTAGAACATGAATATGTTTTTGAAATTTTAAAAACACCTCCAAAATCTTGAGTTACGGGTAAAAAACCGGTTATTAGTACCTTTAGGCACTTATAAGTCAGTAACTTAGTTGAATCTGAACCGATTTTAAGTTTCTCTATAGTAAAGCAACGGTGCAGCAGTGGCCAGAGACTAGATAGCTCAAGTACTCGAACAAAGTACTTGTACAGGGACCGGTAGAACCATGTACAAAAATTGCCAATTGTGTGTTCTTTGCAAGGCACAAATGGGCGGTGGTGAGTTGTCTTTAGCTCACCCTGTGGTTGGAATAGTGAACTATAGTGAAAAAGGCCGTTTGGTAGAAGTTCACATGTTCACTCGATTTCTGTTCATAGTTAGCAAAAGAACTGCTTGTCTTTTGAGGCCAAAAATATATTAAAAAAATTTCGGATACCCTGTTGTGAAGTAATGTGTATCAAAGAGAGAGCGCTCTACATCTATCGAAACAAATATTAGTCGGACATTGCCAGATCTACGCTATAACCCGTGTGATTCATAACATCTTAACTACCATTTCCCTCTAAATAGTTTTAAACACGTATCGAACCGTTGTTATAATGTAGTCCAAGTCTAGGCGGTTTTTGCTTAATTCTCGCTTCAAATGAATCACTGGCATTCGGTACAGTTTCTCTATGATGGTATGGTCAAATTTAAGCAGCTCATAATAGAAACTTTTTGGTTTCACCTTATACAAAGCATTATCATAGTGCCATGGATATATGGCTTTTCTATCGATTCGACTAGTTGGACTATCAGTCAGCCAAATAGTCTTTAAATAACTCTCAACTTTTATTCTGAATTTGACAAAAGTCTTCATGGAGTAACGTATCTCATTCGTGGTCTTCAAACTTTTTTTTGACTGAGCTGGTAGATCTTTGTTTTCCGAGTCAAAATTAAAGACAACATTCACCATAAGTTTCGGTGAGTAATCGATGTGACTCGGCTTTACTTTTTTTAAATTATAACGTATGAGAAACCCTGAACTGCCCTATATTCTGGACTTTATCGTGCCTTTAACAGACAAACAGACATGTCTAACAAGATTCCTTATATATTTATAAACTTTATAGGACCTAATGTTAATACACCAAATAAAAACCTTTCAAATCGGATGAAAAACAAAAGAATTACATGATGAAGGTATCTTTGATCAGCCAAGACACTACTCCTTAGAGCCAATCTTCGAAATTAATAAACTCCCCTTTTACTTCTGTTAAATTTAATATGGTATTTTAGAAATGTCATATTTATATGTTAGATGCTGTCCTAATTTGCTTGTTTGAGGCCCTCACAAAGTCTGCTCTGGAGAGTTTGGGGATTCCATCCTCAAAATTTCAACTCGAATAATCTCCTTTACACGAATTTCCTCTACTACAATTTTGGACAAATTATTTGATTATCCGACAAAAAATCGGAGAAAAATTATATAAGACATTTTTTTGTTTGTTAATTGTTGGTGTACGAAATCATATGATCGGTTTAAGTATTACAATTCCCTATAATGTAAGTCCACCACTATATACATTTATTAATATTGATTAGTAAAACCTCTATATTTACGTTTTAAACGAGTTAAGTATAAGTATAAGAAAATAAATATTTGAAATATTGTGGTTATTTTGTACTTTTGTTTAGTAAAATGCCAAATAATATAAAAATTTGCTGGAGAATTATAAACTGTAAAAGATAAAAATTACTTTACGTTTCCCACGAATACGATCCATTAAACGTTTCAATACTCGTACGCCTGGCGTTCTATTCAGGCGTGAATTTATTCTATTGGCAAAACCCTGTAAAATGTCTGTGATTTCTCTTTCGAATACTTGTAAAAATGCCTGAAAAATTATGACGTAAAAGGGTACACGTAGAAAAAATAAAATAAAAATTAAATAAATGGTGTTGAAAATAAATAAGTGCAAAAATAAAAGGGGAAAATAGGGAACTATAAGATATATAGGAATGTATCTAATTTTAGAGTGCCAAGGTGATGAACTATCAATAAGTCTCTTCCTGGTTTAAAAATATTATATCCTCTATTCACCCCTTTTATCCTTTAAAGATCTTATTCATAATAAAATTTTTAATTTATCAATTTCAATCGAAACTTTAATAAATCTAGTAATTCATTATGAATAAACTGGTATATAATCGTGTAACTTACATTCATGTGCATATTCAAAGCCACTATATGATCACTCTCCTTAAACGGAGCCGATGCCTCTGCGTCAAAAGTATACAATTGATCTTGAACAAATGTAATTTTTGAACCATCATGTGAAAAATGTTTCACTTTTTTCGCTCTATATTGTCTAAGTAAAATATAGGTTTTTTTATGAAAATTTGAAACTAATGAAATATATAGATTTGTGTAAAACTTACTTGTAAACATAGGGTCCTATTTCTTTAACAATTGGTAAGGCACCCTGTTGTACCTTGTGGGGATTTGTTACATTAAATATATAAACCTTAAATGTTAAAGGTTGTGGTGTTTGTATGAAACGTTTGTACTGCTCGGAACCATCGGCTATTATGACACTCTGTAAAGAAAACAAATTAAGAGAGAGTTGTTAAATTTAGATGAATTTTATTTTAAAGATTTTTGGAAAAAAAGTGAATTTCTAAATCAAGATATTTGGTTTTTATTAAAATTAGATTAGATTACTAGTGGCTGTTTACAGTTCTCCTACCAATCGCATCCCCATAATAATATTAAAGTTACGGTACAAGGCCTAATAACCCAGTACCGGCGATAAGTTTAAGTCAGCTTTTCATTACTACTGAGGTAGATTTCGCGGATACAGAATTGCGAAATCCCCTTATTAAACAATGCTAAATTAGGAATTGTCCTACAATGGAAACTTAACATCCAACACAGAGACAACGGTCATCTACTTTCGTAACATGTTTGGGATGTAAACGGGACTTAGTCACAACATAGTTAAGTAGATGTATACAGGTATAGTACGCCCTATTCTTATCTACAGATCTCAGATATATGGTGAACTTCAACTAAGAATAAATTTGTTATAGATCAGTTATACAAAGTTCATGCATTGGAATAACAGGTGCTCTAAGAACTAGTTCTTCAGAAGCTCTGAATGTCATATTGTGCATCCTACCTATAGTCCCCATATTGGTGTATTGCAATCCCAGGTTAAAGAGGTTGTACCAGTACCTCTAGCCTGCCGGGACAATAAACTGGTGATGTCCATTCACTCCTCGGACTTTCCTTGGAATGATTTGACTTGTGGTCGAACCAGAGACCAGTTGGTTAAGGTTCCTTTGGGATCCACGTAGTGTCTGTGGTTTGAACCCAAATTCGCGGTAAGCCTGAAAAAGACCAGCGTGAAATAGGCCAACACGGCAGGTGTTCACATAAAGCACTTCGACATTCATCCTACCTATAGAGCTGCATATAATGGCAATATATGCTTGAATCGTAGCGAGATTTAACTCATCCGGAAGTTGGAGATCAAGACCATGTGGACATGCTAAATTTTGACCTTGAACTAAGCATCCAACTATATTACCCCACTTACGGACTTTGATGTAGTTCTCCAATTTAAAGTTCCTTGTAGGAGTGATGTAGGGGTAACCTACCAACCGATTTCACCACCAAAATTTGTACAGATGGTTCTAAAATGAAGTATTAACGGTATTGGTTCTGGTGTTTTTGTGAAGAAGAAGCTAAGATAAGAATTTTTCACCGTCTTCTCAATATTCGAGGCAACTTATACTGGGTGTGACCCAGCAGTTCGGTCGGATAGTTCCGAACTACCTATTAACTTAACATTTAGGGTTACCCCAAGCCACTGAGTGCTTGTCCTACGAGGAAGTCAATCGTCACCTCTTAGATTACGAAGAGACGACAAAAAGCTAAAGTATCTTTTTCAAGTGTCCACTATTTCGCTTACAAAGGGGAAACTAAATTGACGTTTATCTTTAACCCTCGTTATACCCTACACCACTATAGTGGATGGGGGGTATTATACGTTTGTGCTGACGTTTGTAACACACAAAAATATTGGTCCTACACCCACCGATCGACTCAGAATCACATTTTAAGTCGATTAAGACATGTCCGTCCGTCTGTCCGGCTGGCTGGCTGTCCATGTAAACCTTGTGCGCAAGGTACAGGCCGCAATTTTCAAGATAATTTGATGAAATTTGGACCAAGCATGTTCTTTGGCACAGGGCCGAAGTCTATTGAAAATGGTTGAAATCGGTCCATTATTTCACCTAGCCCCCATACAACCGTACCTCCCGATTTTGGCTTTTTATGCCATAATTACGTCAAATATATTATTATCTCTCTAAAAATTGCCAGAAATAAGTTTTATATAAGTATAAATGACACTGCAGATTTTCGTAATGATCGGCCCTTATTTGACCCTAGCCCCCATACAAAAAATGTCTTAAACGTCATAATTAACTATTATTTAAAAATATATCCTTTTCCCAAATTTAATGAGGATCGGTCCATGTTTGACCTATGGAATTAAGGTAAAATTCAACATAAAAGTTTCTTTGTGAAAAATAAAAATGTTTAAAATATACTAATAGTGTAGGGTATTATATGGTCGGCCATGCCCGACTATACTTTCCTACTTGTTTAAATTTGAAGCTGCTTATGGTCTCGACAATTTAAAACATTGGGAAAATGTATAGTCCAACAGATTTTTGACATTAGAAGCCAACAAATAAACCACTGTTGTACATGACCCCATTCGATTTACACAGTATAACCAATTAATTAAATTAGATTCTTATGTACGAAACATGACTCTTTCGGAAAATGTTTAAACAGACATTTTAGAATTTTAATTAAAAAACACACGTTAATAAATCACAACCAATCATTTAATTAACTAAATAGTTGGAAAAGAAACAAGGTGAAAAAATTGTTGACCTAAAAAACTATAATCTTTTCTCCAAATTTTAAAATATTTACATAAATACAAATTTTCCATCGTTTTAGAAAAGTGTGGAATGTGAACTATTAAATAAAACTTAATTTAAATTTCATGCTTGGTGAATTTTCACCAAAGGTGAATTATACAAATAAGGTCACAAAGTAAATATTTTCATATTCAAAAGATCGCTGAACTTTTTCATACACTTATTTGAACTTTACGCTCATGCATTTTTATACCCTACACCACTTTAGTGGGGAGGGTATATTGGATTTGTGCTGATGTTTGTAACATACAAAAATATTCGTCCTAGACCCACCTTAAAGTATACCAATCGGCATAGAATCGTTTTCTGAGTCGATTAAGCTATGTCCGTCCGTCCGTCTGGCTGGCTGTCCATGTAAACCTTGTACGCAAGGTACAGGTCGCATTTTTCAAGATAATTGGATGAAATTTGGCACGCACGTTTTATTTGACCCAAGGACGAAAATCGGTCCATTATTTCACCTAGCCCCCATAGAACAGAACCCTCCGATTATGTTAAATATACAGATATATCGATCAAATACAGCACAACTAAGTTTTATAGAAGTCTTGATGACCCTGCCAAATTTCATAAAGATCGGGCCCCATTAGACCCTAGCTCCCATACAAAGTCCCCTTCAGAAAATTACTTGAATGTCCCAAATTAACTTATAAACACAAATATCGCGATGAAATTCAGCACAATAAAATATTATGTAAATATAAATATATTCATAAAATTTTATCGGGCTTGGTCCATATTTGCCCCTAGCCCCCATATAAAGCCTCTTTCAGAAAATTAGTTTTTCATCCATAAATTGCTTAAATGTATCGGAACAAGGGAATATTGAAGATAAATGCTTTATTATGAAAAATAAATCACATTTAATATTCATAACTGGTGTAAGGTATCATATGGTCGCCCACGCCCGACTATACTTTCTTACATGTTTTAAATGTTTTTTTTTTGTAAATTGTGTTTTCTCATCGTGTCATTGTAAATTTATTACACTTTGTGTTGATTATAATAAAATTAATGGATCTTCAGCACTAAAACAATGTTTGTACAATTAGATTGTTATTAATTTTTGCTTTAACAAATCTTTTTGGGAATTTTATGTAAATCGATATCGCAAGTGCCAAAATGAAATTTATTAAATGTTTTTTAAAATTGTTATCGTTTTTTAGTGAAAATAAATTGTAAATGAAAGATCTATGAGTTTAGGGGAAGCATGTGTTATACATGGTGCGAATAAATTAAAAAACAATATCTGTTAAAAAATTCTGATAGGAAATAAAATTATTGTAAATTTTTTTTTTAATTTTAGTTTGATCAAATCTATATATATATAAAAGAGTAGCGTTACTGACTGACTGATTCATCATCGCACAGCCCAAACGGATGAACCTAGAATCATGAAATTTTCCCACTAAGGAGGGATTTTTGGAAATTTGTACATTTAGGGGTAAAAAGGGGGAAAATGGGTAAAACAGATTTTCTTAATTATCTTACACAATATTAGTGATACAAGAAAAATTTTAAATGCACCAATATCTACTCTTAAAATGAGCTGATGGGTGTCTGGTACTTTTTTGAAATTCGTACTTTTAAGGGGTTAAAATGTGTAACAAATGTGATTTTGGTACCTTTTTTGGCCCTCTATAATTTTTTAACAAATAAACTTAATAACATTTTGTAAATATTTATATTTTGCAAAATTATGAGATACCTGTTTCGTAGCACACTAAGAAAACTTTTTCGACTTATTGACATATACATACCTATTAAATTATGTACTAATTTTGTAATATTTATTGAAACAAAATATTTGATATTTCACTGGGGAAAAAAGTACCAAAAAGGTGAAAATGGGAAATTTTATTTATTCAATTTGAGCCAATTTTTATAAAATTTGAAGAAATAGTTAATTTACTCATACAAAATAAGATATTGGTATATTATTTTGGAATTCGGGTACTAAGGTCTATATAGGACGAAATTCGGGTAAATTGTTTGGTACTTTTTGAAACCACAATTTTTCTGGAACAAATGAATGCAGATTAGAATCGCTTGAGTTTGATCTGTGATATATAGATTTAAACACGGAATACTTCTTAAACTCAAATTTCTAAAAAGTCTATTCCTAGGTGAAAGGGGGAAAACTGGTAATATTTTTATTAGTACTTTCAAGGTAGAATTTATTCCACTTTTGGTACTTTTTCTTTCTCCAATTGATACTCTTCATTCATTTCAGGTGATACTTTTTGATTTTTTTACGATATTGAACATATAAATATAAAATTTAATATGTAGGGTAGAATCTAATGAAAGGGAATTTTGGTACATTTTCGTTCATCAAATTATAGTTTTTGAATTTTCTATCATATTGAACACAGAAACATTTGATTGAATGAAAATTTTTCATTTCCTTTTTCAAATAGTACTTTCGAAATTTTCTAAAATGCGAAATCTAAACGAATGAAATTAAAAATACACGCTCCTTACTGAATGCCAAATTTATTCACGTGATAAATTTCAATAATATTGAATGTAAAAAACATAAAATTTAATTCAATTAAAATTTTCTATAAAAGTACTC